CACAGGGTAAGGAGCGGTTGAGCAAAAAGATATGTCCTTAAAGTCGCGCTCTGTCACCATTCACTGTGTCAAGTGTACTTATAACCCCATCGACACAATTTTACCTCATTTTGGAAGCAGAGTTTTTTTTCCCGACACTGCTTGTAAGAGCAAATCAAAGATCGGACATAACAAGATAGTTCACTTAGCCAAAAAAGTGTCCGCGGAAGTCCACGCATTTGTTTGAAGTTCTCTTTCAATTCTCCAGAAGAAGAATTGAAATAGCACAGTTTGTTAGTTTCACTTTTATTGTTTTTCACACTAGTAGGGTAACTCTGATCGCAAGTACGCACTTTTTCGAAAAGGACTCTTCCGAATTTTGAGGACACTTTTTTAATTGGCTCAAAGAAAGGAGTGCACTATCTTGTTATACACGATCTCTGAGCAAATCTACCAAAGGCGACTTACGGAGATACGTGTACCAGGGCTTTTTTTCCGCGCGCGATTTGTGCGATTTTTTAAGAAATTCGCAAATTCAAACCTTTCGCAGAATGTTAAAACGGGCGCTATTGCATTTAAGCACCTGACACAGAGCCACTAAAGTAGCGAATTCAAAACGTTCGCAAAAACTGAAATGAGCTAATCGGAAAATAAATTGGGTAAAAGAGCACTAGAAAAAACAACAACTGGTGTACAGCACTTGACCAAAACAACAAAATCAAACAACTTCGTAAAGGTGTGCGGCATCGACCTTGATTCCCACGGTCCACCCAGCCTGAGAGGGATACAACGTCCAGAAAGAAAACAGAGACACTCAATGGGGAAAAAACTCCCCACACGGGAATCGAACTCACATCTTCCACATGCAGCCGAGGTGAAAAGTGTTGCCGTTACGTCACCGACGCTGGCCTGTTGGCCCAGCACCGCACTACAATAATATAACTGTTGGCCAACTGTTTTATCGGTGAGTTGTGGCCAACGGAAATAATATGAGAGGCACAACTATAATAACTGTGCTTTGTTGGTTCCGTAGCCCTCTTTTTATTGTCCTTAAACTCACTAACAAGACATATGGCCAACTGTTTTGTCACAGTGCTGTAGCGGGCTTATAGACACAGGCTCCGACAATAATATACTCACAAAGTATCATGATCCCCATGATGAGCTGGAAAATTTGGTCCAAAGTGGACTCGAGGTATCCTAGGTCTTCCATGACGTCACCTGTGGCATTAAGTGACGTCGCCTTGCGATATTGGACACCCTGGATGTGTGGGGAAGGTGGGGGTAGAGGTGAGGGAAAATACCGATTTGTTCTATTTATAGATTGAATTGACTCAATTTAAGAGTGCGAGATGGAAAGTCCTTGGGAGGATATTTTTGGTTGTATTTTTTTGTTCGTTTGTTTTTCATTTGGGGAGGGGTTGTTTGTTGTATTGTTGTATTGCTGTATTGCTGTTGTTTGTGGATGCCGCTTTTATTTTGATTTTGGTAGGTTGTTTTTGCTGTTGTTAACGTTGTTGCTGTTGCTTCTGCTGCTGACACTGCTGCTGCCGTTACTGCTATTATTGTTGCTTTTGTTGCTGCAAGTACTGCCCCTCTTGTTACTGTATTATTTTTGTTCCTGTTGCTGCTGTTGCTGCTGTTGCTGCTGTTGCTGCTGTTGCTACTGCAACTGTTGATTTCGGTCCTATTGCATGATTCTAGTAATGTAAAAACAACAGAGAATTGTTTTCAAATATTTAATATATTAAAATGAACAAAAAAAGGTGGATGTATTTGTGGTTGCCGTGGTAACCGAAGGTTTGACTTACAAAAAAAAACCGATGTGACACTGTTCTGCTCCGTAAAATGATACTTGTTTGTCTTGTTCAATGAAGCAGTTGCGGTGACGGCAAG